TCTCAGTCTGGGTCGCTCTCAGACTGGGAGTGATTCTGTTGCTTGTGATGAAATGTGCAGTGTGAGTGAGACATCTTGTTGTAAGGCGGGTCACCCCTGAAGGGTCATGTGCTTGGTTTAATGGTCTGCTGTCCTTGTCTTGAAATTCCCATCAGTTTTGATTAGGACCTTCATTTCCATCTGTAACAAGCCCTGCAAACTGTGTACTGCTCCTTGTCAGCCACTGAGATTGTCTACTGCTCTGTCATCTGTCATATATGGTAAAATAAGAAAAGAGGGGAGGCTGACAACAAATGCTACGAGGCCACAAGGCTAGGCACACCTGGAAAAGGATGCTGGAGCCAGGCATAGCAGACAAAAGGTATGTCAAAGAGGAGGAGCTAGAGGGAGAGGGACAGAAAGAGTCTTGCTCGTTTGTTTTAAACTGGGAAACATTTGGAAGGGTTCCAATGCAAAGATGAAGCTGTTGAGAGAGATACAGGAAAGACGAGAAGACGGAGCTACAGGATGAGCCCTTCCATACTTTCACTTCCATTTTGACGGGAAGGAATGGGCGCACAGATGCAAGAAGGACTGTTGAGAGCGCTCCTGCCTGAGGCTTTCATCTCTGAGGCAGACATGAGGTCATGTACCCAGAATGAGGAAACCCTGAGGGAAGTCAAAAATGGACAGGTGAGGCAACCAAGTGAGCAGTTACCAAGAATCTGCTCTGGTCAGTACTTTTTCCCTAAGGGTGATATCAGGCCTTCTTAAATGGTGACTGGATTCACCTGGAAATCACCAGGTGAGTGGGAAGGAAGCAAGGGGCTAAAGGCTGGCTAGGGACATATCACCACCACTATTAAAAACATCTAGCATGAAGTATTTAGGGACTGGGGGATGGCTCAGTGGGTAACAGCACTAGCCACCAGACTCAACCTCAGTGACCTCTGGAACACACATGGTGAAGGGAGAGAGCTGACACATGCTTGCCATGACACATGTACCACCCATCCATCCATCCATCCATCCACAGAACATTTACTGTGTAGACCTTTGTGTGTTTGTTTGCTCTATGTTTGTGTATCTGTGCTTGCCAATATGTATGGAGGACAGGTCAACTTTGGGTGTCTTCATCTATTGCTTTCCATCTTATTTGTTGAGACATATTTCTCATTCAACCTAGAGCTTGCCATTTCAGCTAGACTGTTTGGCCAGTAAGTCCCAAGGATCTTCCTGTCTCTGGCTCCCTAGTACCAGAGTTACAGGCACACACCACCATGCTCAGCTTTTATGTGGTTGTGAGCGATCCAAACTCAGGTCCCCATGCTTGTGCTGCAAGCACTTTCTCCACTAAGCCCTCTCCCCAACTGCTGTATAGCACACTACAGTGTCTTCCCAAGTAATTTTCACCATAGTATGAAGCAGGAATCATAAACATCATCATTTTACAAAGATAAGGCAAAGGGAAATGGTGAACAAGAGCCCAAGGGGTCGATTTGTGTACTGTGCTTAGAAGTGTTCGCCTTCATATTCTAGGCTGAGACTTTAGTAGTCTAAAGAGCATCTATTTGTGAAAGGAGCTGACAGCTAGCTGCCTTCTGTAGGGACCTAGCTTGACCTGAAGGCAGCCATCCTGATTTGTGTCATGCTGACTCCTGAGTAACTGGGGCGGGTTCTCCCCCACAATCTCCCAGCGTACTAGAGATAAACAAAACCCTGAGTGCTATGCGGAGCTTTACAACCAAACTCTGGCCCTGTAGGCACCAGGACTATGCCTGGCATCCTTGATGTTAGCTTGAGATAAACCAGGTGTATTCTAGCTCCTCCCTTAGACTTGAATTTCAGGGATCACTGGTCTTGCTGCTGCCCTGGCCATGCTTCTGTAAGACCCAATGAAACTGCACTCTGCAATCCTAGATCTTCCTGCTTTTCTTCAGCCTCTGGGCACTTTCTGCCAATGGAGGCCAGTTCCTTTATACTAGATTTTCTTGGAACAGGCTTCTCTGCTCACTTCACTCCCAACAGATCCTCTAGCCTGACAGTTCTTTTGCCCACTGAATAGGGCTGCCAGCTGCATAGTTTCTAAGGGATGAATGAGCCTGTAAAATAGTGCACAGATCTCCCATGTATCCAGATTTGCAAGTCTGTAACCTGAAACAAGATTGAGAGCCAGCAGCAGCACTGAGAATAGGGCTTAGTTGGTGGAGTGCTTGCCTAGCAGGCACAACGCCCTGGGTTTGATCTCTAACACCTACAAAAACCAGGCATGGTGGTATATACCTGAAATCCCAGCACTTAAGAGATGGAGACAGGATGATCTGGAGTTCAAGACCACCTTTAGTTCCACTGTGAATTTGAGGCCAACCTCAAACTTGAGACCCTGCCTCCAAAATAAAACAGCCAGTAGCAATCCAAGGAAGAGTTCTGAGGAGAGGGTGCCGCTTTTCCAATAAATTTGTGGGCTCAGCAGCTGGATGGCACCCAGAAGGCTAGAAAGGCATATAGGATTTAGGAACACATGACAGATATAGAAAAATCATACCATGGTGGGGGTACTGGCTGCACTCCTGGGAGAGAAAAGTGCCCCGAGGAATCCGGAAGGACAGCAGACATATACAGGTCCCCCAGATCTGTGTATTGGTGCTTTCTTTCCTTTGGAAAACTGTTGTTTTGACACTGATAAGCTCCCGCTGGTATAAATTCCAGACCCTGGAGAAGTGCTTCAGTGAGGCAGAGAGCAGCTGGGACTACTCTTTGCTGCAGTTCTGGTTCATGGAGACAAGCAGTATCAAGGGATGCAGATGAGAACCAGAGTTGGTGCCCTGGCGTCTGAAGATCTGGATTTGGAACTGGAGTCTCTGATCTGGGACTAGTCCCTGTGCCTCTTTGGGACTGTTTCTTTATCTACACATGGAAGGGCTAGGGCAGGTCATCTTTTTCTTTTTTTCTTTTTCTTTTTTTTTGAGGGGGGGAATGGGTGAGGTGAGAAATCTCATGTAATCCAGGCTGGCCTCAAAATCCTGCTGTAGCTAAGGATGACCTTGAACTTCTGATCCTCATGCTTCTACCTCCCAAGTGCTGGAATTAAAGGCATTCATGCACTGTTTTATGCCTGAGCCCAGGGCTTTATGTTTGCTGGGCAAGTACTCTACCAACTGAGCTACATTCCCAGCCTTAAGGGGCCAGGACAGGTCATCTTGACAATCTTTTTCTCCTCAAGGCTTCCTTTGCTAGCCTGGGACCATGCACTAGCTAGCTGTGAATCTGGTCTGTAGAGAACAAAGGGTTGCTCTGCTGACCCTCTGCTCCACCTCAAATGGAGTTGTGGAACCTAAGCACAGGAGATGAACGGCTGCACCTGCAGCCCCTCCAGGATTTGCTCAGTGCTAGCCACAGAAACCCCATTTGGGTGACATGGTGGGCTTATTTGGGTATTTTGGTAGCCCACTATCCATTCTCTTTTCTTTCTGGGAACCACAGCCTGAGCAGGGGCCTCACCCTCTGATTCAGGCAGCAGTGAAGAGTGCCTGTCTCACAGCAGCAGGGTGGAAACCTGGGGACTGGTTCACACACCCTGTTCCTGCCCCATGCTCCATCTTCCTGTGGGTATAAAGAACTCATAACTTTCCCATGAGTTGTCTTGCTTAAGTCAGAATGGCTTTTGTTACTTATTGTTAAAAACCTCCTTTAGGAGAGCTTCTAGCACGGGTGACTGAGCCCAGGCTCCTGCCCTTCAGGCACAAGGCTCCTAGAAAAACTCTGCCTCTTCAGGCAGAGGAAGAAGTGAGGGAATGAGAAGTTTTCCAACTTCTCTCAGGAACCTTGCTATCCTGTGTCTTGGTCCAGCAGAAGTCACCCAAATGACCTGGGCAGCCCTGCTATTCAGACTGCATGAAGGAAGGGACTGGGGAAGGACAGGCGATGTCTACTCTTAGGGAGTGGCTATGACCTCACTGCATGTGCCCTCGTAGATGGAAGTGCTGAGACTTGGGTCTGTGAAATGATTTAGTCCTTGTCTTGTGGCTACTAAGTAGTGCAGGCTAACTTCCAAAGATGTGTTTCTACTATCCTATGCTCCCTGGGATGATACTGTTCCAGGATACGCTGGGTATGACCAATGAGGCTTTTGTTGTTGTTGTTGTTTTTTTTGAGACAGCCTTACTATATAGCCTAGGCTGGTCTCAAACTCTCAACTCCCCAGCTTTAACCTCCCAAGTACTGGGATTACAGGCATGTATATTCATGCTCACTGACCAATGAAGGCTTTTAAAAAAATTTTATTTTATGTGTGTGAGTGTTATGCCTGTATGTATGTACGTATGTATGTATGTATGTATGTATGTACGTGCATTCGTGCTGTGCAGTGCCCACGGAGGACAGAAGAGGGTGTTGGATTCCCTGGAACTCGAGTTACCAATGGTTGTTAGTGCTAGGATTCAAACCGGGCTCTTCTTCAAGAGCAGCCAGTGTTCTTAACTGCTGAGCCATCTCTCCAGCTCCATTCTTAAAAACAAATATCTTGTGAGTAGGGGAGCATGCGTGCCTCAGTATGCATATGGAGATCAGAGGACAACCTCAGGTGGTTTTGCCTCCCACCTTAGGCAGGGTCTCTCTGGCTGTCTGCTGCTGAGTACGCCACGTTAGCCGGCCTGTGAGCTTCAGGGGACTCTCCCGTCTCTGCCTCCCATCTGATTTTAAGTGTGCAAAGATTATAGACATGTGCTAGCATTTCTAACTTTACTAGAGTCTGAGGATTTCAATGCAGGTCCTCATACTTGCATGGCAAGTACTTTACCCACTGAGTCATGTCCCAACTCCCAATGAGGTTTTGTAACCTTTGGAAGGTCTCCACTCCCAATCTTCCACTCACATTGACATGAATCATGAACTCTGTGCCAGTGCTTTGCTTTACTCTCTCCAGTTCCTATTAGTGGTGGCTCTGTCTTAACAATTCTGCCAGGGTCAGCCTGCAGGTAGTGCATGCCCAAGATTTTTCTCATAAAACATGAATACCTCACAGAAGTTTTATTGGAATGGGGTTGCTTCAGTGTACAGACAACTCACAGTTCAGTGCAGTGCTTCTAATACAAGCCATATACAAAGGGAACTCACTGAATATAGTGCACTCGATACAAAAATAAATTACAGTTTCCACACTGCTACAGAGCTTTACATAGGAAAAGTAAACACAAAATTGTTAGTGAGTCCTCATAACCGTCTATTATATCCAGTTCAGAAAACAAAAAGAGCAAAGAGTTCTTTGAAAAAATAAAAAACAAAAAACTCTCTAATGAGAAGAAATCCTGAGAACTTAGTGATATTGTCTCAAACAATGCAATCAAATAAGGGAGGTACAGAACTGAGAAAGAATCGTAGTTCCACCAACATGCTCACAGCGGAATTCAGTTTTAGGAAAATTTCCAAAACCCAAACGAAGCTCCTCATCCTGGGAGCTGAAATACTGGGAAGTTTCCAACCTGTTCCTGGTCATTCAAGAATGGCTTTCAACTTTTCAGAGAAAACAACAACAAAAAAGGGACAATTTATAAAGACATTCTTTATCCAAGTTTCCAAACAGCACATGGCCAAGAGCAGCATTAAATAGCACTGGCAGGCTCTCCAAAGACTCTCAACTGAGACCCATAATTCCACCTTGCAGCCTTGAGGATCACAGTGTCTCAAAATGCTGAATTCCTGGATTGACTGATGTTGCTGTGGGGCCCAACTGGACACCTCCCAGGCAGCATTCTACTCTTCTCCAAAGCTGGAAGCCAGGGCTCAGAGCTATACTATAAATAAGCTGCAGTGAACACATGTGTTCTGTCCTCTGATGATTCTGTGTAGTACTGGCAGAACTGAGTGGTGAAGTATTTGCTATCTCTGGCATGCTATAGAACAGGAATATTGGCAGAGATTTTCTAACATGTACAAGGGTCCAGGTTTGATCCCTAGAAACAATTTAAAAAAAGAAAACAGCAGCAACCAACCAACCAACCAAAAACCTATCAGAACAAACGTATACTAGGCATGGTGGTACATGCTTGCAATCCCAGCATTTGGGAGGCTGAGGCAGGGGGACTGCCATGAGTTCAAGGCCAGCCTAGCCTACATTGTGAAACCTTGTCTCAAAACAACAAAATTAAAACAGAGAACAAATAAGAATATGAACCTTGCTAAATGAGAAGAATTTTGCCTCTCAAGACTCTTCCTTTGAAAACTGTGAAAACTGTTCAGCAGGTGAGCAACCAGCAAACAATCCAGCAAGGGCTCTGAAGGGACAGCAGGGCTTTCCTCCTGGGGCTCAGTTATAGGGACACAGGTCCAAATTTTAGCCAGAACTGAGAACATAAGAGAACAAGCAGTCTAGATCCTAGAAACAGCTCAGGGCTCTCATCCTCCAATGTACTCAGAACGCCTGTGACTGTGCAAAAGCAAACACTAGAGACAGTAGAACTATAGAACATATTTTCAAAAAATGTTTTCTCAATGCAGTGCAAAATGCTAAGGGACCTGCTTGCTCCTCTGTTCAGCAGCAACTGGAGCAGGAATGGAGTAACCTGTGTTAAGTGTCTCCCCTGTGTAGAAGGGAGAGGCCACCAACAAGCTGTCAAGAGTTCAGATCTCACAGATTCTTTATAAGAATCCTGCCTGCACTGAGGCAGTCTACAGCTGATAACTAAAACAAGCACACCTGAATGAAACTGCCACACCAAGTCCCCTACCCTGATCAGGGCTCGATTGTGAACCTTGTCAAGATCCTCTCCTGGAAGCTCCCTCCGGGCAGGCAGCAGAGCAGCTGCTGAAGCACTATTCCCAGTGATCCCAGAGTAGTGACACAAACCATCACTACAGCTGCCAGTGCTGCCAGCTGCCCCTCTTCCTAACTCAGCCTCACACCACCAGCTGCCTTCCTACCCATGTCCTGTGGCCTCACCCTGCGGTTATCCTGAGTGCTTCACACACCTCCCCTCCCTTCCCCGTTACATCCACAGATGCCCTCAGCTCTGCCTCACTCAGAATATGCTGTGCAATTACAGCAGTTCTAGGAATGGCACATCAGCAAACGTGACAGGAAACATATTTGATGGTGTCTAACCTGTCAGGGCTAATTCACCATCCAAGAATGAATTTCTAAGTGTGCCATTTCATACCAGGTCAGGATGTAAGATTTTCTTTTAACAAGATTCAAACGAATAACAAAGTCCCTAGCAAATATTTTGACTGGCAAGAATTCAGGTACCTGGATATCCAAATGCTATGGAGTAGCTGCAGCTATTCCTTGAACATTTGGAGAGTCTGAGAAAGGATGGTGCTAGCTCCTCAACAAGACGGGACGTTTGGGCCTCCTAAGCCACCATTTGTTAGCTAGCCTGTGGCTACCAATGCAACACTGTAGGCCACCCAGACTTGTCAGACACTAAAGATCTATCATGCTCAGTCCAGTATATTTGGGTCAAGCTCTCGTGTCAAAATTGTGAGAAAATGTCTTTTGTAACAGCGTCGCTAGAACACTGCCAATGAAATGTATAAGCCTAGTTACTGGCTAAGGGGAGACAGCCAGCAAGAAGAGCCAATGCTCCTTTTGCAAACATACTTTGTACAAAGGTGGTTTCCAATTTCTCCAGCTCCCTGGGAAATGATGTAAGATTAAAATTCCTGAGCTTTCCAGTCATATACTAGTGTTTATCCGAGCATATTATATGTCACAAGGATACCAGGAGTACAAATCACAATGTTTTAAAGATCATAGAGCTGAACGTTCTTTTAGCTGAGAAGTTAAAATGAATGCCTGGCTCTACACATGCTATGCGATGGGCAGGAAACTGAACAAATGCTAGGAGGTGTAGCTTAACATCAGTCCTTGATAACAAGATATCACCACTGGCTTTACCAGTGTTGTCTATGTACTGTACTCCCCATGGTGACCGAGGTGTTGATATTTCAGTCTACATAGTTAAAGCTACATTAGTGTTATTTCTGTGTGCTGGGATCACAGGTAGACCCATACACTTTTATGTGGTAAGCATGTACTACTTTAATATCCTGAGCTTTTTCTGGTACAGGAAAAAGAGGTGGGAATTCTAGAGAACTTTCTAAACTGACACAAACTCCCTAATGTAACCCAACCTCTTTCAGTACACTGTGCACAGCTCCCTAGTTGAGAGCCAGTCAAGAAAAAAACTCCTCTCACTGCCAATTCTGCAGCCAGGTGTCTCTTGTCTTTGCTTTCCAGTTTGCAAGTTCTACATTCATTCAGCATATACTGAGGAATGGGAGGTCCCGAAGTGAAGCACTGCTGAAGGGCGCCATTGCTACTCGCTACTGGGCCACATTCCCCACTGGCTCAGAAGGAAGCGTGCAGGCCTCAGGTATCTGTCCCCTCTGAGTCACAAACAGGTGAGTTTGATATGCTTAAACACTTCCTATAGGAAAGGAGGACTGAGGAAAACATGCCCATGCCTGGAAACGATCTCTCCGTAGCTCTTCTTAACCTTTATCTTGGGTGTAAATTCAGAGTAGTAAAATCCTTACTCCACAAAGATTCAAAATGTGAGACATATTGAAACCCTGTATATCCTCAGTTTCTCTTTAGTATTATAGTAACTATGAAAGAGCTGGCCTGAAACCTACCTACACAGTATCTGCATCCATTCCTAAATTCCCAGTTTCCAGGTAATGCATGGAAAATTGCAGTTTCTCTCAAAGGCCTTCAGGTCAGGTGTGCTCACCCTGACACTGGGAGAAAACAGCAATGAAAAGGCAACCACTAGGTGGAGCCAAGAGCTTGAAGGAAACTAGGGAATTTCATTTCAGGAATTGGCAACTCAAAATGAAAGAAAGGAAAAAACCAGGCATCTTCAGTTGAGTAGATATGTGGGGTGGACTTCCAGTTGGACGGAATATGTAGCTTCTTTCTTTGTGAAGTTAAAGTTAAATCCAGGTAGAAGCTTTCTACCTATACGTAAAGGACTTGCTCCTCGGCTGGATTCCAGGACAGTGGGTTGAAGAGTGCAGGGCATGTCTGTTACAGGGGCCGGGTTGGCCTCAGAGCTCAGTAGTCAGTAAGCACTTCTGCTTCAAGACAGTGTCTTCCGCCAAAGCAGGGGCAGAGCTGAATGGAAGAGAGAAAGACTTAGTCAGTGAAACACATGCAGGGGTAGAGTATTCCTGTCTCCAGTAGCCCACATGGAGATGCTGAGAACAGAGATTACAAACTTTATTGATGATGCAGTGCCACCTAATTTAGCAATGGCATATTCCACAGAAGGGAGTTTAATAGAGAGTTGATGCTTATTTCATTTTGAAATGTGATAATATCAGTTTTTCTTAGTTCCTTGATTAAAATATGCCTCACTTTCTTCAAGAGTCAAGATTTCTATGGATATTAATAATAATAGCACTGTACTACAGGGCATGGTAGCACACACCTTTAATCCCAGCACTTGGGAGGCAAAGGCAGAGGCAAGTGGATCTCTATGAGTTCCAGGCCAGCCTGGTCTATGGAGCATGTTGCGGAGATACCAAGGCTTGGAATACAGCTCAGATGGCTTATCTGGTCCCCAAACTAGTTCATTTATTTGTTGGCGCTCTCAGAAAAATGAAAGAACATGGGCTTTGCATGAAGGCTGTTAAGTATGTACTGTGGGCGAACTGCATAAGCTTAGATGCAATGATGTATCGATATCTAATGTGGTTTCATAAAAACTTAAAACATTATTAAAGTACTTGGTATAAAAAAATGTTGGGGCTGGAGAGATGTCTCAGTAGTTAAGAGCACTGCCTGTTCTTGCAGAGGACCCAGGTTCAGTTCCCAGCACCCACATAACTGCTAACAACCATCTGTAACTCCAGTGCCAGGGACTTGACACCCTCTTCTGACCTCCATGGGCATTGCACACACTGTGCACTTACATACATGCAGACAATACATTCATATACATAAAAATTTTAAGCTCAGCAGTTAAGAACACTGGCTATTCTTGCAGAAGACCTGGGTTTGAATCCCAGCACCCACATGGCAGCTAACAACTTCCCGTAACTCCAGTCCCAGGGGATCCGACAGCCTCTTCTGTCCTCCTCAGGCATTGCATGACACAGGTGCACTTACCTACATGCAGGCAATACACGCAAACACATAAAATAAAAAATAATAAATATTTCTTAAATGATATATATTTTTTAAAAGTGTAATCCGAGTTGGACACAGGGTTGCTTGCTGAACCTGGAGTTCACCAAGACTAGTGAGCCAGAGGGCTGCCTGTTATATACCTCCAGTAGTAGGATTACAAGTGCACACCAAAACAGCCTGCCTTTTCACATGGGTGCTGGGGACCTAAACTTTGGTCTTATGCTAACATGGTAAGCACTTTACCAACTGAGACATCTCTCCAGCCCCCCAAGAGTTTTAAAATGAAACAACAGTCAACAACACCCCACCATGTACTCCTACTACCTAATCCTTTCAATAAACACTTTTGACTATGTTTTCCCTGTTTCTTTCATCTTTGTGCATCTCAGGATACAGAATTTGTTGAAATTTGTTAAAAATGAAATATCTTGGGCCCCCATCCAGCAGCCCATGTGTTAGCAAGCTCTCCTCAAGGGCTTCTGCCTTACAACCAGCAAGTTTATCTGCTCTGAGGGTATGTTCACACAGTGAGCACTTACTGTAGACTATGAAGGCTTAACTTTCTTATACTTCCTTTCCCAGGCCCTCAATCTTCCCCTTCTATCTTTTCAACATAGCCCTCAGACCACTTCTGTTTATTAATACTCAGTGTTTGTTTAAATGATGTAACTATCTGCCACAACTGGGTATCAGTGTATTACATTTCTTTTGTACAGTTTTTATTTTCCTGAATTGAACTGCCCCATTTAAAAACTGTGACTGTATGTGTTGTCTTCTGTATGTATCTAATTTATCTCTGACCTCTCAGGTAGAATCACAGATTGCTTGTCAAGAAATTCAGATATGCCATCAATTTAAAAAAATTATATGTGCATGCATGTGAATTTTTCTTGGAAAAATCCTTCCTGGGGTTCTTTTAGATCCTTTCTAGACCTGTAAGGCAGCTGGGCACTCGGCAGAATCTTTTTTCAAATTAAAAAAAATTATCGTGAATGGGCACAGTGGCACATGGGGCTGTAGGAAGGCCCTGTATCAAAAAAACCAACCGAGAGAGAGAGAGAGAGAGAGAGAGAGAGAGAGAGAGAGAGAG